TTCTATGTATCAAAATAAAAATATTTTTACCTCTAATTAGTATCTTTGTTTAAGTTCCCATCGTTTTACAAATTTCGGGATGTCTCATAATATATTTCTAGTATATGTTTTTCACCTTAGGACCAGTATAAGAGAGTATACCTTGCTTTATGTAAATACTTCAATGGAAAATCCAGATGTTTGACACCATCCATGTTTACCAAGGAGTTCCAAGATAAAACCTACACCAACTGTGGACAAGTTACTAAGAATTCCTCTTTGGCATCAGAATTCCAGGTGATGACTTAAACTGAATATATTTTATTTCATAATATTTAGTTTCCTTAAGCATACAACAGAAATATATGTACATTTATGAAAGATAAGTTATGTTACAATTTCAATGAATTGTCTTGTCCTTTTTGCGTTTCGATCATGAAAAGACATGATGGTTCTGAAAGGGCGCAGGGAATTCTCACTCCTGAATGACATCTGATCTCATATCTGATGTTTTGGAGGACCATGTTTGATCTGCTCCAGATTTGTAGTGTTTAAAAGGACTTAAATATTAAATCTTGTTTGTTAACTCTATATCTCGTATATATATTTTTATTGATATAGATGATATCATATAGCTCATATATATCCCTATCTTTGTAGGAGTTACTGTCTCTTCGTAAAGATTATACAGACAAAGATTATGAGTCTGGTCGGACAAATGTATCCGCAAATTATACTGAAAGTGTTCTACCAGGTACTGTATGTTAAAAAGAAAATATTCTAAAAAGAACATGAAAAAATCATAATTTTTGCGGACTTATTTAATTATACAAAGGTTCACATGCACATTAGAGGATAAAAGAAATAAAAAGATTTGATTATTAATTTTTTTTCTATTAAAATGTCTCATATCTTACTTCCGATTTATGTTTTCTGTTTTCAGTGGAAGAGTTTCTGTGCTATTTGTCCTATACAAAGGGACGCAACACGTACTACAACGCCGTTCTGCTTCAGGTCTTAATTATATAGCCAATAAAATTACAGTTTTTGCTTTATAATATATAATCTCTAATAACGGTACTTGATTAAGATTAAGATTTTAAAAAAAAAATATATGTCTGATATACCTAGTTTCAAATACAGGACATTTTGTATATACAAAAACTATTTTATTGTTTAACATATAAGTTTTTTTTCTGAAGTATGCGTACATGTAGTGCACACTCATTAATAATAACTATTTCATAATTTTAATGTATATTTCCATTACCTAATGCGTATGAAAACATTTGAGCAAGAAAATGCAGATATTAATTCCCAAATCGTTTGCAATATTCTCAGAAATGGAAAGATGCATTACAACTCTATCTGCTGTTTTTCAGTCCTTCACAGAGAATGATAGTCTGATCAGCGCCCAGTACCCACTTCCTGACTACACCGAGGACTTCCTTAGACTCATCAGAGACTTTGATGCCCGTGTTGTGGTCTTCATGTGTCCGTTAAAGGATTTGAAATCAGTAAGATGTATTGATCAAACCGGCAAATAAAAAAAAAAATAGCAACCTGTGATTAATATTTTGAATATGATTATGCACAATAATAGATTATTAAAAGTTACACCGCATTGTACAGTTTTTCAAAGTTTTAATGACTTGAAAAATGCAATCTATTGAAAACTTATTTTTTGTTTTCTTATTTTAAATGGAAATTTTATTTTGTTACAGTGAAAACTGTCTAATCCGACACCTGAATAATCCGACATCCTGTGCATTACGACGTTAAATTTTGTTCCCATTTTAGTATTTTCCTTGTTTTTAACACTGTGCAATCCGACATCCTGTCTATTCCGACACAAAATTTGTCTCCCAGTGCATGTCGGATTAGACAGGTTTCACTGTATAATAATTTTTATTTTTCTTCCAGACATCTATATGGCTTCCAACGAAATCTGAACATAAAACCGTTGGAAATTTTACAACCAAATTGACTTCTTCTGTCAACTCTACCAATTTTGCATCACGAAATATCATCTTAAAGGCAGAGGTTCAACATTAACTTTTTGCAAAATATGTTTTGGAAAATTTGTGGTTGTCTTATGAACATATTTCCTTTTTAATTATGTAAATTATTTATTATTAGGAAGGAAGGACTATAGAGATAACAGTACTAGAATGTAAGGCATGGAAAGAAGGGAAACTGACAATAGATAAAAGAGCGTTGTTAGATTTAATCAAAGAAACAAAAACTGAAAAGTTCAAGCATAAGGAAGGAAGAGTTGTTATTTTGTCAAGGTAAGCTGATTTATCACTAAACAGTGAGACCGAATATAGCAAAGTAGACATTCTTTTTAGCTTTTGGAGAGGAGAAAAATGTAAGGGGTTGATGTTGTTTTTTTATTAACTATATGGAAACAGTCTTAATACTTCAATGGATTCATTATTGTTGAAAAAATAGATAAATAGTATTTAAAAGCTAAATGGTTCATTTTTCCCTTGATAGTGATGGAGCCACACGTTGTGGAGCGTTCTGTGTGGTTTATAACGCTCTAGAACAACTCTCCATGGATCAGGAAGTGGACATCTTCACCATCACACGACAACTTCAGATCCGTAGACCGGAGTTTGTTTCCAATTTGGTCAGTATCCTTTTCCGAGAATTGACGATAAATTATTTTTTATTATGTTCATAGATTCAGCGAGATAAAGAGTGTAAGTTAATTTTTTTGCGCCATTACATCACAATCATAAAAAATGCTAAATGACTTAGTTTTGCATGATTTATCGAAGCATTTTAATTACATCATTCTCTTTTAAGCATATGTCAAAAAAGCTGTATGCTTATTTATTTCATATCAAAGGAATCTTGACAGAGATTTTGACCGTATATTATCTTTTTAGGACGAATACCAGCTGTCTTACGATGCTGTGTCAGAGTACATACAAAATGACAGTGTGTATGCAAATTGCTAGACCTTTTACAAGTCAAGTAAAGAATGATAGTAATGTATATTAAAAAGACTGCATCTTTTTTGTAGAAAGAAATATTACTATAGTATACTAATTATAATTTTTTTTCTTCTTTTTTTCATTTTTATACTAAGGATATTTTATGTTACAATAAACTATTTTGAAAGTTTCTACAACATGATTTTTTTTATTTCAAAAAGTAAAAAAAAAGTCAAAAATTAATAGAATGAAAGTTACTTATTCACCCTAAAAGGTGACTGAAAGTTTACTGAAATATGAGGGAAATTTTTACTGAAAGGTGACTAAATGTTGTGAAAGATAAATGAAAGTCTACTGAAAAATGGTAACCGAATTACAGTTCTTTCATTCAGTGACATACCCAGACTCTTCAGTAAGCATTCATTGAAATGTGACGATGTAATCTTTGTTTACTATATACCACAACTTAAGTGTTAGTTTAAAACAGAAATGACTTTTCACTATCTTTTTCGAGCAACGTTTGTAGATGTTCATACAGATTAAATATCAACGTCTGGACAGATTTTGAATATATCAGATTATTTGTAGAAAGAAATTAAGGACTAAAATTATGGACTAAATAAAAACAAAATTATATCTACATTATTTATTCGTCTGCCTTAATATGAATCATGGGTCATAAGAAACTACTCTGTAGATACAGACCTGTTCAAAAACGTTGGTTAGAGCTTCATGGGAAATATGTCTGCAGTATTTATGATGTTCATAACACAAAGCTGTTAATTGCTTCTGTAATGTCAACAATAGTAAGAGGAACTCTTGATTATACCCCCCGCTTGAAAAGCGGGAGGGTATATAGTAATCGTTAATTCCGTCCGTCTGTACGTCTGTCCATCCGTCCGTCTGTCTGTCCGTCCGTCTGTCCGTCCTTCCGTCTGTTACGCTTTAGGGTACCCATCTCTTATCCGCAACTCCTCTTATACCACTGAGTGAAATTTAATGGAACTTTCACAGAATCTTTATTACATATTGCCATTGTGCACCTCCTATTTTACTTTTTGATCTGACACATATTTTGGGTGTCCCGGCCACGGCAAAACATGGACTTTGTCATCAGTTATAACAATATATGAGGCGGGGGGTATCATTTGGTGAGCTCATTGCTCACAGTACCTCTAGTTTTGATAGGACATGACTGTTTGCCTCGATTCGAAAAAAAATGATGAACATAAAATTATCTGGGAATTCTTGTTATTAAAATATATCCAGCTTATTACACAAGTTAGCCCTAAAATTTTCATATTACCACTTGTTATTGCATGCACACATCGGGACTGGGTTGCTCAAATCAGTGGTTGAATTTGACCACTGGATAAGTTAGCCGTTTGGTAAATTCAATATACACTGGCCAACTAACAATGGGTCAAAAGTTTGTTGCTCAAAATAAAATAAGCCTATGGTTAATTAACCACAGTTAAGAGACTTAATCCACCTCTGTAGAATGGCTAACTTTAGCAAATACAAATACGATATCTGTATCCCATACAACTCAGTTGCAAGGCCAGAAGGTTGCACGTGATATAAAACCAGAAAAAATAAAATCCAAAGCGGGCGACAAAAAGCTAAAATCTAAGATTTTGCAATGCTTAGTCAATCTGATATCTTGCTAGTCCGTGAAAGTTGTCTCAACCTAAGGACTACAGTCCTCCAGATGGATAGCTTTGTAGTAAGAAAAAAGTGTCTGCAAAACTGCAGTGATTAAACGGAATGAAATGATGTATTTTCTCTTTACTGTAATTCAATCTTATTGAAGAAGCATTGACATATACACCTGTAGAAGGACATGCTATATATATTACAGATCTAATTTACACAATGTCAATTTTCAACAAAATTAGACTGAACGAATTCAAGAAATATTTATGCAAAGAATTAATCATTTGTAGAATTAAAAACAAACGAAAATTTAGAAACGACATCGAATTGATCTATGATTTGCATTTAAGTACTGTGATATAAAACTGGTTTATAATATGCATGAAGGAAAATAGACACGCAAGTGCAGTTCAGTGTCATGATTAGAGGACTACAAATGCACCAGATTCTTGATAAAAAGCGGAATAGAAGTAGAACGAACAAATATTTGCAATTGGTAATTATCATATTGTAATAGAAGAAGATATTTGATTTGCATTTATTTATTCTTTATTTTGAAAATGCCATTAATTATCTTTTCTTAGGAAATATTCTTTGTTTTTTCATCTCATCTTGGTTTTTCGGAATAATTGGTTAGTATTTCTGTTCTAACTAGAATTTAAGCTCTTTGTTTTTTCTCTATTTTGTAAAACAATCCTTTACTTTTAATTTTGAAATAACAATTTTTATGTTATGATAGACTCGATTCTATAATAAAACGTATTTGTCTCTTATCTTCATGGTTATTATAGACGCGCTGTATTGCCTGCAGTGCACAGATGTTGTTTCTCCAAGACATTGTCATTCGATCAAATATTGTAAACCGATGAGGTAAAAAGTCGCACTTTAAAATTTTTATGTGAAATGTTTGCAGTTATACAATTAGACTTGCTTTATTATTTCATTTCAATTCTTCTGTCTTAAATTTCTTGATATTCCGTGCAGTCTTTTCATTTCAAATATTTCAACACGCATTCATACGTAATATATATACATGTATATATTATTTTGGAAAGGGGGGGGGGTGGTCTCTTCTTAAATGCTCAAGTTTTTTTTTTTAATTATAAGACAGAGACTTATTCATGATCAATAGTACATGTTTATTTGTATCTCACAAGGTCTGCTTTACAGAACAACATATAAACATCAATGGGCAGGTTATGTATCACACAGGCTGCTATTCACAATCTGTAAGTTTTTCTACGATTAAAGAAATAGTTTTTTTAATATACAAATAGGACTTATATATTAAATACTAAAAGTACTTATATATTCAGTTTCATCATTATTATTTAACGAGGTTTGATCCTGATATTTCAAGTCCTAAACGTTTTTGTCAAGGAAATTAATTTTGTAGTTTCTACGCACCTACATGTAGCTAAATTAAAAATCGAAAAAAGAAAAATAGGAGTTCATACCCTTCTTTTGGCGCTACAGCTCATTTTATATGACCTTTTAGCACTCAGTTTGTGTCTAGTTAATAATTAAAAATCAAATCTTTGAACTTTTACTTAAAAGTTTTTAACCAAATAAATCATGGACAAAATAAACTTTTGGTGTTTTAAAAAAGAAGCACTCTAAAATTTGTAAAATAGGAAAAGTAACAAATTGCGTCGTGTTCGCGTAATAATCAATTATTTGACCTTTCTCGCAAAATGTGCTTTTTCTGGCATTGTAAATTTAACGAGCAGTAAAATTATTTTAAAGCCTAAAACGTTTGCTGAAGTAAAGCAGATTGATTAAAGTCATCTAACATATTCAGACAAGAAAAACAAAAGTGGGGGTCTATGATCATACATGTCAATTTTTAAATTTTACTAAAATGTTTATGTGTTATTTTTACGTTACAATTGGATCTTTTTTCTTACTTTCAGAATATATTAACTATATTTACTCGAATCTTGCATCAGGTACAGGTTGAAACAAATGTTTGGAACTGGAAGACAATTCGTTTCAAATTCCAATATTATATTTTAAGCAGGTCCAAGAGATTCAGAAAAGCGTTCTCGACAATGATCATAACCAAAAATCTGTTCAACGGTATATTTCATTCATTGTTCTATTTGATTTTTGGAACAGGTGTGCAATTTAAGACGTAGAAGTGTCGAGGACTTCAGCAATCAAAACATAACAATCGCCACATCAAACATAACCCGGTGTGTTGAATGTTGCTCTTACGATGCATGCAACGTCATTGGATGTGGGTCACCTGGTAAATTTTAATGGCGTCATAGCTGCAGCAAAGTTTGACATTAAATTATTATATAACTTGCTTAGGATAAGGTGGGATGGTGTCAGGTATATTACATATAAATTTATATTGATACTAAGGGCTCACTTCTGGCAGTGGAAATCGTTTATCCTCCATCGGCGTAACTAGTCTATAAAGGCTTACATGTCAAGGTCGATACTATTTGCATGTACATTGACATCAGTAGTTTATAAATCTTACGAACTACTATTATAAGTTTTCATATATATTATTTGCAAATCGCAGACATAAATGTAAAATATTGTTTTTATCATTGATTTTAAAGATTAATATTTATTCCAAAGGTAAGTAGCATTCCACATTGAATCCATTGTTATAGCATAGGTTATTGAAAATGAAACAGTACTTTATATATTACCCACTTTCCTAGTCAATAGTCTATATGTTACCCACCTTCCCAGTCAAAATACATTGTAAGGGGTTTAAACCCTTCGATAGCACAATAACCTGTATCATCCGGTATTAATATTACATGTGTGCAAAAAATGATCTCATTAAGAGGGAGGTATACAAGTTTTTACGTTTGAAGGATTCAAAACAATTTAGTTGACAGCCTTAATCTTATTTCATAAATTTAGCATTTTCATGCCTGTAGAATTAACATTTATGCCTAAGGCTTAGGGTCAGAACAATTTGCTAGATTGTCGGCAACAATATACTCAAGTATCCAAGCTACTGGAGATGAAGTTTTTGTTAAGAGAAAAACATAAATGTTGCATGAACATGTTTAGCGAGCTTTGACTTATATTACATGTATGTTTGTGATACATGTACTAATACAATGGAACGTTTTGACCAAATGACAGTTATTCCTGTTCAAAATACTAATAATATATAAATGTATATTTAGGATATCCAGATAATCGTGGTCCTTTGTGCTTTAGCTGTAACCAGGAGTTAAATCCACTTTTGTGTCCATCAGTCAGAGTTTGTAACAAGGACCAGGTATACGAAACATGTATTCAATCGTTTAAGAACTTCTTTTTATTTACGTAGTTAAATTTTTTTATTCATTAGAACTGAATTCATTTGTTTAATTACAGGTCTGCAAAATAGAAGAGCGGATTGAATTTGACGAACGTGTTTTTACGTCTGGTTGTGTAAATAATCAGGTATAGACTGCACTTTTAGTAATTTTAATGGTTTAGTCTTACTAATCACAGGCGCTTGTATCATACAGTGCGCTAGTTTTCTAGTATATGATAACACAAGGTATCCATCTTTTTCGAGACAAAAAATATAGGTCACCAATTGAAACCCCTTTTTTATATATTATCCGCAGCTGGCCACAAAAACTCCACATGTAATGGTTAGCGGAATCCCCCTACTTGGACCTCTTGAATATTTCCTCACCTCACCCCTCGCGAACTTTGACAGTGACCATAAAATTACACGCTTCGTCAATCGAAATCAAAAGTACATCTCTAAACAGCTCAACACTTCCGGTTTGTCAATCGCGATATGATACAATAGATTCCATTGCTGAAAAAAAAACAATTTGAAAGAGGAAAGGAATTTAACAACATTCTGATGTTACATGTACATGGATGTCTCCTTGTCTCCTTTGTTATTATCATTTCCGTGACCGATAAAATGGCCTTATCAGCAAATTAATCAGAAATTAGGTCAATTGCTCACTGACGTTCTTTCAAACAAATTGATAGACTACTATTTGCACACTGTAATTTCTATGGATTTTCCCTTGACCTGAAAATGATTATGAGTAGATGGCGGGTTAACCCAGTCGAAAAGGGATGTTAACTCCCCACATTGCATCTGATCCCACCTCTTGATTTCTTAGAGGTCCATATTTCCTTTTATGTGGCAAAAGCAAAGTATGTCAAAAATAATGGGTTATTTTTGCATGACATTTTATATCAAAAAACTTAACCCAAGGCACGTAGAAAGGTTCCACAACCTTAATTATAATTTAGAAAAAAGCCTGGGATGAATGTACTCAAAACGGACAGATTTGATCTACTCTTTCACAACAACAACAACAAAAAAAAATCACTTGTCTCTTGCTGCAATATAAAAGTCAAAATATAATGTATTTAATTGATTGATTGTATGTTGTTTAACCTCCCTCTTGAGAATTTTTCACTCATATGGAGACGTCACCGTATGCCAGTGAAGGGCTTCAAATGTTGACCTCTAATCGACACTCAATGTCATTCAGCAGTGAGGGATCTTTATCGTGCCAACACCTGCCGTGACACGGGACCTCGGATTTTAAGGTCTCATCCAAAGGACCCGAAAAATTCACTTCTAGTGCCGAGCGCATGGCGAAGGAACAGTTGCTACCCATTTTTTATCGACTACGGTCAGTCGCGACCTTTTTTTTTTTTTTTTACAATAAATTCTAATAAGATAGATCTTTTTTTTTATTATTTTAGTTTTGTTTTTCAGACGTGTTATTATTAATTTTATTGTCCAATTTAATGTTATTCAAAAAAAAAAAAAAAAAAAAAATAAAAACACATTTTAATCAGTGACCTGACTTATTGTCTTAGCAGTTTATCTTTTTAAAATTTTCTTTGTTTCAGACTTGTCGTACATCTGTTGTAGACGTGTTTGGTAAAAGGTCCTTAGCAGGATGTCCGAAATGTTGTAGTACAGACCTTTGCAATGATGCATGTAAGCTTAAGTCTATCGTTGTGATTGCATATTGAAGGAAAAAAATAGTGATGAATGTGATTTAGTACTTGATTTTGGGAAGAAAATGTTTTTTTTCCTTGCTTCATATCTTGAGAAAATGCTATTATACCATTTTAAATTAACATTGAAATTAGGTTTGTTTCTAAATTTACGTTAGCTTTGTAGGTGGAGTGTCATCTAATTTTAATTTCCAAGTAACACCTCCACCAACGTTTACCCCTGATATTACAGAATCCACAAATACGACGGGAGGTTTGTATATAAATTATCAATACAAGGATGTCTATACTATTTCCTGAATGATCAAAATTCGTAAACAATTCAATTATTTCTAAATAGAGAGAGGACAGATATGTTCGAATGTTTTAAAATGCTTATTTTCAAGAAATGCTCTCTATTTATCATAAAATTTAATATCTATTTCATCAATCACAACACTATGAATCTGAAAAATTGATTGAATATATATTGTTTAACGTCCCTCTCAGGAATTTTTCACTGATATGCCGGTGGAGAGCTGCAAATTTTGTCCTGTACTCGGCACTTAGGGCTATTGAGCTGGTAGGAATCTTTTTTTGTGCCGGCACCTACTACGACACGGGACCTCGGTTTAATCGGTCTCAGAATCAATTTCGCAAATGCAATCTTTTATCGACCATCTAATTTGGGAATTACAAGACGGAGTCTTTGCAATGCAAAATAATTTAATTGAGTTTGTATTCCAGCCTCTCACTGGTTGGTTTCCAAAAAGGAACGCAAATTAACTGTTTAAACTGGTTTAGTATACGGACACACCCCCTTGATAACCAATTGAATCAGCTGTGTCCATACAATCCCCTCATTTCCAGTCCTCTGGAATCATGGAAAATTCCATATTTAATAAATGTACCTTTAATCTCAAATATTAGCTCGATCTAACCTCATGTAAACAAACATCATGACTGCTAAGTCTATGTATCAGTTATTACCTCCCCTCCTTCCCATCACTTCCGTTACTACAGTTGTATTATTGAGCGGCAAATTTGAACTCATAAAAAGCATCACAATTTTACATCCACAGTTGTTTAATTATTTTAAGATTAAATTATAAAGAATGACTCTAATTCTTGGCCAAATTATTTGAGTATAACCTGGTTTGGATCAGTTTGCGCTTTTTTTATAATACGTTTCGTGGATTATAAAGCATAAAATGACCCAAACCAGGTTATATCGAATATTTTGGCCAAGAATTAGAGTCATTCCTTAAATATTGATAAGAAAATAATTGCATCACAAATATTATCCGAGAATATAAATTCATTTCAATTAATCTTCATTTGAATATTTTATTCGTGTTGCTTATTTTCATTCAAATTATAGACTACTGGTACACAGACTGCTATGAGGCATATCACAGCGGGCATACTGTATCTGGTGTATACACCATCTATCCCTGGGGACGATTAGGAAAATCTTTACAGGTGCTCTGTGACATGGATATACCACCCGGTGGATGGACGGTACATAGTTCAAAATACTTAATACATGTAAACCCCTATAAGATGGCATTAGTAGATAAAGATTATATTTTGGCATAACCTGGAAACGTCCCGTGGTATATATATGAAGCTGATGATAAGAATATAAAAGCAAACAGCAATACGAAATGCAAATCCTTACTCGCAAATCTTAAATAATAGCTCACACAAGGATTATTTTGATTCGGCAACAAACTTTCATTTTAATTACTTATAACAGAAAAAAATCAGAGTCATAATAGATTTTTGTAAAGAATTCTTTGATACATTATTGATTAGATTATTGATGCATTATGATTGACTACTGTCAATATCTTAGTGAGGAGTAAAGATAGAGTCTTGGTTGAACATTTACAGGAACCCGCAATGCATCTTGTTTGTAAGGATTCTTATGAAGGTTCGGAATCCAATAATAATATGTATATGGTAGTTCAAAATCATTTTGGTTCTTCGGGATATAAGAAAAGGATGAAACAAGAACATCAGCTGTTCCGTTCAAAGTCATCTTTTCTTAAATTCTATGGTCGATACAACGACCTTGTCAGCAAATACAATTTATCATTGAGTCAAATGCTGACTGACGTTTTTCATACTTATTGTTAGTCCATTATTTACACTGAATTGACTACGGATTTTCCCGTTATTTCCCAATCATGACAAGGAGCACATGGAGGGTGTGACCGGTCGGCAGGGATATTATTCTAAACAATAATAATTATGTAAACATTACAACTATTGGCTCAATATTAACTTGTCTAGGGGTAAACAATAGAAAATTGGTGAATAAACATTATAAAGTGGACTAGAATATTCATATGTCTCCAAATAATAGCATACTGGCGCTCTAATATCATCGTTTAATTAATTACTTACAGCAACATGTTACGAAAATACTAATATTTACGTTATAACGCAAACCGGAAATCTGATGCACTTACTAATACTAAAACCAGCAAGGGTCAGAACCTTTGTATTATCTATGCATTGCCAACACTAATATTGCCAGTCGAAATAATAACATTCAACAAACTAATTCATTACTCTGCATGGACACTATAGAAAAATACTCCTACGGTAATATTATGTCAAATTAATTATCATAATCGACAGCTTTACATATTTCTACTATGGCGGGAAAACCCAACATGTGACTAGACTGCGCTTCACAAGAAAATGTAAAATATATAAATTCTAGCGGTTTTGCATACAAATTACAAATGAAAATAAATAACAATAATCCTCTTACACAAATGCAAAAGTATTCTTTACCATCTTAAAGTAAAAACATGAATCTTACCTAAAAAGAACAGAGGAGAGCTGTAGTATACAACTTCGTTTATTACAGCAGGCACACATATTATTCTAAACGTTTCGGATTTCCCATTCCGGAAAACAGTTAAAAGAGTTATCTCCCGTAAACCATAAAAAAATAATAGGGGTACCTGCAAACAACCTTACTACATATATACATATATACCGTCTTCCGTATTAGACGGTAATGATTTGTAGTCGTTGAAACAAGAAAATCATGTAAAATTGCTTATTTTGTCACAAAAAATGTTTACTACAAATACCATGTTATTTTAACAAGCTTGTTTATGCTTTACACACTTGGGGTCTTTATAATTCCTTTCAAATGCTTAAGTGTGTCTTGAAATTGTTAAAGTGAAATGAAAAGAAGTGCTATATATTTGATAAATTATGATAATTTTTTTATTTGGTCACTTTAGGTTTTCCAAAAGAGATTCGATGGCTCTGTTATTTTTGACCGGCACTGGGATGACTATAAGAATGGATTCGGAACTGTTAAATCAGAATACTGGTTGGGTAATCATTTCTCTCTAATTTATAGTTTCTATATCAGTTAATCTTTATTTAACATATTAAGATTATGTATAATTTAATCAAATTGTCTTTCGTATGAAACACCACAAACAGATTTCAGTGCCTTTTTCATTAAAAGTATACACGCAAATAAGATTGGAAATTCATATATTTTGTTTATCAATAAGAGTTACGAAAATACTGTAATTACACCATTAAAATTAAACGTTTTATAAAGTTATCAAATTATAATTATTTATAACCCTGCTAGGAGAGAAATGGATATTTTTATATAAATCCATCGCATGACGCCGTGGCTACTTTTAGATTGATAAACAAACATGGCGTGAAGAAAACAAGGTAGACCGTTTGAGGTACTACTCACTTTTGACGTGGATGGCAAGCGTCTTACTCTTAATGATACTTATCTTTTAATGTAAGCGGTATCAACCATCTACTTTTTTATGACGCATATTAACCTTTTATTAGCTCACCTGAGCCGAAGGCTCAAGTGAGCTTTTCTGATCACATTTTGTCCGGCGTCCGTCTGTCTGTCCGTCCGTCTGTTTGTAGACTTTTCACACTTTCGACTTCTTCTCAAGAACCACTAGACCAATTTCAATCAAACTTGCTACAAAGTATCCTTGGGTGAAGGGGATTCAAGTTTGTTCAAATGAAGGGCCACGCCCTCATTCAAGGGGAGATACTAGTAATTGGGAATTAATGAAAATTTGGTGATATGTTTTAAAAATCTTCTTCTCAAGAAGCACTGAGACGGGAAAGATGAAACTTATGGAGAAACATCATCAGGTAGTGTAGATTCAAGTTTGTTCAAATCATGACCCCCGGGGGTAGGTCGGGGCCACAATGGCCGACCAAAATTTTACATAGAAATATATCAGAAAATTCTTTAAAAATCTTCTCAAGAATAAAAAAGCCATAATTGATCATATTTATATGAAAGCATCCTCAGATAGTGTAGATTCAAGTTTCTTCAAATCATGACCTCCAGGGGTAGGGCGGGGCCACAATGGCCAACCAAAGTTTTACATGGAAATATATTGGAAAATTCCTTAAAAATCTTCTTCTCAAGAATAACAAAGCCATAATTGATCATATTTATGTGGAAGCATCAGCAGGTAGTGTAGATTCAAGTTTGTTCAAATCATTTCCAATGTAAGGCGGGGCCACAATGGCCAACCAAATTTTTACATAGAAATATGTAGGAAAATTCTTTACAAATCATCTTCTCAAGAATAGCAAAGCAATGATTTGTCATGAGACTACTTTTGGATTTAAACTTTTCAATAATAAACCAATTTCTACTTTTTCCTAACCACAGTGCGCAGGTGAGCGATGTGGCCCATGGGCCTCTTGTTAATAATTGTTGTCAAAATGCAACATACCTCGTTGTCTATGATTTCCCATGGCCATCCGTGTCTATATATATGCCTACTGTTTACGCACTTCCTTCATCAATATTAATGAAAAAAAATTCTTAATTATTGCCAGATATTGCTTAATTATTTGTTTTGTTATTACAACGACGTCTATAGTAAAATTTTGTGGAAAGTATTATTTTTTCATGTGCTTCAAATCATCAATCATTTTGTTTCACACAAATTTCGGCGTTCATATAGCATGTTTGACTTTAAGTAAAACATAAATCGCAAATGTAAATGTACAGAGTTAATCTTAAAACAGTTAGTGAATTTTGCAGTTTTATAAAGAGAATAAGGATAACGAATAATAATCAAACTGAAACGTTTATCTGAAGATTACAAATCGAGCAGAATAAACAAAGACAATCAAAACAGAGAAGGGATCAGGTGCTATGGAGGAGTTAGTAATCTCCTATCAACCATATAAACATATAAACATACGTTTGTTTCTTGTCATATAAGGTGAATTAAGCACACACAGATACTATTTAGTAGACAGTTCGGTATAATAACTGATTGATTGTTTACTGTTTAACGTCCCTCTCGAGAATTTTTCACTCATATGGAGACGTCATCGTAATTATGCCGGTGAAGAGCTTCAAATTTAGACCTATACTCGGCACTCAGGGCCATAGAGCAGCGAGGGTTCTTTATCGTGCCAACGCCGACCGTGACACAGGACCTACGTTTTTAAGGTCATATCCGAAAGACACTAATATGACATGTATATAAAGTAAAGTCTTTACTAATTTGAATGAAAACAAGAAACTATCTACAAGTTATTTTTCGTCTGGTAAGTGATGTGCTCCTGGGTTTTAGTCTTACCCGTTCAATCAAAAAACCTGAACGGGAATAAAAAAGACTTTGTTAGATAATTTTGATAATTGTATTTTGTAGGAAATGAAGCCATATATGAATTGACAAGGTCTGAGCAAACGCGACTTCACGTTTCACTTACCCTTAAAAATGGCACCGAATACAATCTTCTTTATAACTACTTTTACATTGGCAATGAAACTACTAGATTAAGACTTTATCTGCTTGGACCTGTGTTAGGAAATGGGGTATGTAAGGACCTTAATTTCGTAAAATATGACATTAACTGATCAAACAAGTTTTATCCTTGAATCTATGTATATACAGGTAGGATCTCTGGGTCATTAAAATATCAAATTTAAGGATACACCAAAGGCTTTTTTCAAGATTTTTGTCAATTTTGAGATTTTTGGCTAAGAAAACAATGCTAATGACTGCTTTATGATGCATGAAAAATTCTTTCTGATTATTAAATGGTTTTCTAATTATTTAACAATAATCAAACATAAACACTAACACATGTGAATGTGCCGTTATTGAAGCTTCTGATTTGGCCTGTAACTGCCTGCTTCTGAAAGGAGCAATAAATCATTGTGACAACTTGGGGAATTCTTCACTAGCCACACAGAGGTTATCAGTAATTAAACTACAGGGACTCTAGATTTAGGGAAGGAGATCTAACAGGTCACTAATGACCGTGAAATAGGAGGTGGGGCTTAGCTTTTGCCATTTTGCCGGGAAATCTTTCTGATTCAGAATTAAACCTATTTTACTTCATTAAAAGCACCTTATTAAAGAATAGAGCCTCCCATTCTTGTGAATATGCATAGGAAATATGGATAAGTGACAGGTATCCAAAGCTGAATCTCCAATGTGTCATATATTTCTAGTTTTGGCAGACTTTGTTATGTAATGGGTTTTTGCCCTCTACTGTAAAGTTAGATCAGACAGTTGATGGTATTATTTCAAAGGATTCAGCTCCCTCATTTATTGACCAATTTCTCTGAAAACTGGCCAGAATGCGTCTCAAATGTGTGTTCACAAAACCGTATCTCAGATTTTTGATATCCTGCTCAATTCTCGATTTAGTGCGGGAAATGTAGAATTTTGCTAATAAATCAGTAACATTGAAAGACAAATGGATGTAACTTTTGAATAAGAAGATTTATCAAAAATCTGAGATACAGTTTTAAAGTTCAATCTTTAATCTACATTGAGGCAAAACTTTGACTTTGAAAGGTGGAATACAAAAAAGTTGATTTATATGATTGTATACTGTTTAACGTCCCTCTCCAGAATATTTCACTGATATGGAGACGTCACCATTGCCGGTGAAGGGCTGCAAATTTAGGCCTATGCTCGGCACTTACGGCCTTTGAGCAGGGAGGGATCTTTATCGTGCCACACCTGCTGTGACACGGGACCTCGGTTTATACGGTCTCATCCGAAGGACCGCCCCATTTAGTCGCCTTTTACGACAAGCAAAGGGGGGACTGAGGATCTATTCTAACCCACGCCCCACGATTTATAAAGTATAAATGCACTAATATTTACATTAAAATATTAATAATTTGTTAATAAGATAAAAATGAAAGTTTATATTAGAATCATTAAATAGTACATTTAACAAGCTTTCAAATGATATATACTTTTAATATGTTATCTTTGATAATGAAAGAATTACAAGCAAATTAAATGTTGCCCTTTGGAAACCTTTGGTGTATCATTAAGATAAACATTCATAAGAATATTTTTTTTTTGTTATTTTTAATGTCTTAATTTTACACGATTATATTTCTATTTCCATGTATGATACTAACTGATAGTCATGAATATCTGAAATTGGTAGCATTGAATTTTATTTTTTTTTCTCAGCATGCAACACTTTTAAAAGTGTTAAAATATGTTTTCAGGTACAAGGATTCTTAAGACAAAGTGGAGAGATTTTCGCAACACCAGACACTAGCTCCTTGGCTAAGACCAATAATGGCGGATGGTGGTTTAGTCCACCCTATTATCATAATATGCTTTATTTTAATGGAGATTATGGCATGCCTACTTGGATTTATCCCTGGTATGGATTAGCAGATACCGGAGAAACAGTTTTAAAAACTAAGATGATGTTAAACAGACGACATTAAATAAAACATTATAGTGGCTAAAAAATCTACGCTTTTATTTCCCCTTACGGTAACCTGTCGGAGTTCAACCGAGCATTTTTGTTTAATTTGGATAAACAAAGTAATGTAAGATTCAACAAGTACTGAGAGTATTAAAGATAAAGTCCTAAAAGTAAGAAATATTGTAATCAACAAAGATTCTTAGATCTCTTATAATGGTCTACACAACTTTTTGCGAAGGGTAAAGACTGATTGATTGATTGATTGTTGCTAAATGCCCCTCCTGGAAATTTGTGACATATGGAGACGCCACCACTTTGCCAGTGGAAAGATGCGAATTTTGACCTATACTCGGACCTCAGGGCCATAGAGCAGTTAAGGATATTTTTGTGCAAGCACATACTATGACAAGGGGCACATCGGTTTATAAGGTCTCATCCGAAGAGGTGGCAAGATATAGACAAATATTTAATATGTTGTAGTTTGGTATGTAGTTAACTTCACAAGTTGGGCAAAAAGTTTGATAATCGTATTCATAAAAAGAAAACACTTTTGTTAAAAGAGTCAAGTGATTTTCCGATACAAAAACAATTTTTTTGGCCGCATGGCGCAGTGGTCGGAACGTCTGCTCTAGAGTCGCGAGGTTAGGAGTTGACCCTCACGTCCAGGGTTTGAATCCCACTGTGGGACATACATGGAGACCGGTCCTTCGGATGGTGTCTCAGTATGAGTGAAATAATTCTCGAGAGGACCGTTAAACAACATACATGTACAATCAATCAATCTTTTTATTTTTTTTTTTTAAACTTTGACTGATTGATAGTTGTTTTATGTCCCATTCGAGAATTTTTCACTCATAGAGACGTCACCATATACCGGTGAAGGGCTTCAAATGTTGACCTTTACTTGGCAACTTCTGAGTTACATTCACCGCACGCTCTAGAGCTCTTTTCCTAAAGAACAATGTTGATTACACAGTACACAAGTAAAAAGATAAGTCATAACAAAGGGTGCATGAAATTTTCAGATTCCAAATCATAGCATTTCTGATAAGGACAGACGAGTAGATCATTGTATTCCAGGCAGGCATTATTTTAAAGGGTTAGAACTATTGAAATAGACGTAATTTTGTTACATACAATGACTATATTTCTTCGATGTCATGTGTATTTTGTAATTATTTTATACATAGAACCACAAGCATCAAAATTAAATAAAAAATAAACTTAAAACTTTAAATTAAATTGATAGACATCATGATAATATTAAAATGATGCCATTGATAATTAACCAGTGTATTATCTAAATTAAAAAAAATATTGATAAGAAAGGAAACAATGTTTTCTTAATTGAGTTATGTTTTTCAGGTAAGTAATTTTTTAGGTAAGCTAAGTACAAAAGACACAGCTAATAATTCTTTAAAGCATGGACTTCCTTAAAAAAGAAAAGTAATAAACTTAAGGTAAAGACATTGTTGCATAACAAGTCATATTTTATGAAAAAAAAATACAGCGATCATCAAGTGTATAAACTTGTTTTACAACGCAGTACAGTTCAGGTGCACAATGGAAATATCGACAATATTTTGTAATGATAAATGTATTCATAATCGGAATGGCAATTATTTTTAGTATATTATTTATATCGGAAAATTGTCATTATGGTTAATAACTACATATTGAGGACGATTAGATTTTATATCTAGACTTGTCACGTGACGCAGCCACTTGATTTTAGCACATATACTTGCAGTGTTGATGTTACACATAAATTTCACTAGTGCAGGGGCATAATCAAGTTAAAATTCCAAGTTTAGTTTATAAATATTTTCAACACACATTGTAGTTTCTTTAAAGTGCTGCAATCCTATCTAAATTCTGAAATTTCATTGTTAAAATTATATTTATATGAACGAATGCTGTATTTTATGCTGGTCAACGGCATGGAATATTGATATAATTAAATAATTTTAAAGATTTCATCAGGATCGCAGCAATTTTCAGATACCTTAATACTTCTAGAGTTGAATTCTTAACGCTTACTATGATCCATTGAGCGTATGCCCTTGCACTATTTATTTATTGAGACCCCCACATTACCCTCCGATGTCCTTGCATACAAATGTACGACAGTGTCAATAGGGTCTGTAAGTCTCGTCACGTGACCTGCGAGATTTAGCGAGAAACCACACTTCCGGGTACAAACAAAATAATGGCTCTTTCGATATTGTATTGGGCAAATTATGTTGAAGGGCTATCTAAGATTAAAAGAAAAAGTGAGGCTGCAGTCGAGTCGGGGCGTGTGTTAAAGTTTGTTTTAGATGAACTGCGGGTCATTTCGGCTAATGTCCAAGCGTCAATGAGAGACACTTCTTACAGAGTGCAGGTAAGCATCTCCGATGTATTCTTTCTCCCGTTTTCAGATCGGTGCACATTCTGTTGATTTAGCTATAAAGCTTGATTTAAAGATATGTCTTTATTAAGTTATTCAGAAAATCATTATTTAGCTATTTTTCTCTTTTTTTTTAATTCAATAATTGTTATTTTCAACAAGAACAACAAGAACTGAAGAAGTCGGTTAAAGAGCTTACCATAGCTCATGTTATTTCTGTTGTACTGTATATATGTGCCGACTATAAATAAAAGTTACTTAACTTGACTTGAAGAAGTGTGTGAGCTAATGCTCACTAGTAATACCCCGCTCTGATGTGAATATACTCTATCATATTATTACACACGTTCATTTACAGGCAGATGCACAAATAAGTAGGAAGTTGACACCAGA